GGCCCCACGACCGGACCCAAAAAAAAAAAATGTATGTATATATATATACATCATGGTTATCTTTACACACACTTGAAATCACACACATTTTTTTCTAGGATACAGTGCATCATTCCTGCATGTGCTACAATATCAGGTCCATGTATGGAGAGAAGTTATTATTCCACCTCCCTGCTCCGTATTATCCACATTAGCCTTAGAGGACGAATCAAATAGTAAATCAGTAAGAACAGATACTACACTTGATCTTAGCCAAAGGCTGAGAAGTGATCATATATACTTTATTTATATGACTTCACATTACATAAATGTTTCATGCATAAATGTATTTTTAATTATAACATTTACATTGGGATGTGCTCTCACAGGAATTATTAAAAACAAAAAAAAAGAGGGAGGGTGGGAATGTGGCTTAGTGGTAGAGTGCCTAGCATACATGAAATTCTGGGTTCCATCAGTACCACATACAGAGAAAAAGCCAGAAGTAACGCTGTGACTCAAGTGGTACAGTGCTAGCCTTGAGCAAAAAGCAGCTCAGGGACAGTGCCCAGGCCCTAAGTTCAAGCCCCAGAACTGGCAAAATAAATAATTCTCTCTCTCTACTCTCCCCCTTCTCTCTCCTTTTTTCCTCCCCCCCCCCAGAAAGGAAAGAAACAAAGAGGAGAGCCCTTGAAGACTCAGGGCAAAGGAAATGCCATCAGTGCTACCTGTGAGCAATACAAGAAGCATGAGTGTGACTGACTCCAGGCGTACAGGCAAAGGCCAAGGCAAGTGGACACAAGCCACAAAACCACTTCAGTTCCTTATCTGCCTTTTTCTATTTCTACTGTGTGATCTCTGTGTGCCTCTTCTTGTAGGTAGCAGCAGAAAGCTCACTACCTCTTAACAGAGCCGCCCTGATTTTTCACACTCTGTCAAGCTGACACTATTGCTAGCAGTCATGGCTCTGGCAGCAGTTCCGGCCTGCTTCCACTGTGTTCTCTGTTCTAACACTGCAGGCCCTCATTGTACCATATTTTATTCAACCAGTCCTCAACTGAATGACATTTAGGTTGTTCTGTAAGTTTTTACTATTATAAATAATGCTCTAAGAATATTTGCATATGTCAGGCGCCGGTGGCTCACACCTGTAATCCTAGCTACATTGCTTGCTACCACTGAGTCACATTCCCAGCCAGCAATTAAATTTTTGATGGAGCTGGAACTGTGGTTCTGTGGTAGAGCATCTGCCTAGCAAGTGTGAGGCCAAACTCTAACTCCAGTAGGGAGAGCTGCTGAAATACACTCCCACTAACAGGATATAACAGAACTTGTTAAGCCAGGCGTTGGTGGCTCAAGCCTGTAATCCTAGCTACTCAGGAGGCTGAGATATGAGGATCACAGTTCAAAGCCAGCCCAGGCAAGAAACTCCGTGAGACTCTTATCTCCAATAAACCACTCAGAAAGCCAGAAGTGGTGCTGTGGCTCAAGTGGTAGATCGCTTGCCTTGAGCTGAAGAGCTGAGGGACAGTGCCCAGACCCAGAGTTCAAGCCCCACAATCGTCCATATTCCATATTTGTAAAGCAAATATGGAAGAAGGAACAGAAGTTGTAATTTGACTCTGAATACATATTGTGCATACACATGTGCATGCCCTTCTTCTGTCACCAGAGAAGATATCTGTCCAGTAAACAAGGACTATGTCCTGCCTGGTACTGGTTGATTATATCCCTCATAATATAATGTCCTTTAATGAAGAAACCAGTGCTCCTCAGAGAAATGACTGGTTCTATGGCTAGGGAATATGCAAAAATGAATCTAGAGCATCATATCCATGCTAACAAAGAGTAAGGAAGTTCTTTTTTTCTTTTTTTACTTTTTTTTTTAATGATGCTGGTTTGAAGTCAGGACCTTGCACATGCTAGGCAAATACTCTTCCATTTGATCATGCCTCAGTGTGTTTTTACTTATTTTTCCAAGAGGTTTCTCAATTTTTGCCCAGGGCTAGCTTCAGACCATGATCCTCCCATCTATGCCTCCTGCATAACTGAGATTACAGACAAGAAACACCATGCCCAACCTTCTTATTGCGATGGAGTCTTTCTAACTTTGCTCAGTCTGGCCTTGAACTATGATCCTTCCAATCTCTGTCTCCGAAGTACCAGGGATGACAAGCATAAACCATTGCACTTGACTATTTCTATTATTCTTACTACATCTTACACAGAAAAAAATATTATTTGTTTTTATTTGTATTTCTTTTTTAGATTCTTTAAAGTCAACTGATATTAGAGTTGACTTCATATTTTTAACATTTTTATATTGAAAAATATGTGTTATGGTTTGGATATCATTCAATTGTTTTAATGTCCTCTAAGAGTCCACTTGTTAAAATCTTGATCTGTAAGTGCTGTAGAATTTGGAAGGTCAAGGCTAGTGGAAGGGCCTACCTCACTGAGAGCATACCCATTGAGGACCTTTTCCATTAATTTCCTTTATCCTGTCTCTCTCTCACTTCCACCTTCCTGACTTGAAAGTGAGCACTAGCTACTGAATGGACCATTATACACTACCATTAAGTGAGCAGATGCAGGTGCCATGCCTTTGCACCTTCCAATCTGTGAACTGAGTCTTTTTGTTTATGCATTAGTTGACTCAGGTACTCCATTATAGTAACATAGTTAATACAATGTGTTTTTTTCTAGTGAATTTGTAAAATATATCAGTAGCAAAAGAAATTAGATCCGGGCTGGGAAGGTGGCTCAGTGGTAGAGCGCTTGCCTTGCATGCTTGAGGCCCTGGGTTCAATTCCTCAGCACCACATAAGCAAAAAGAAAAAAGCCGGAAGTGGTGCTGTGGTTCAAGTGGTAGAGCGCTAGCCTTGAGCTGAAGACCTGAGGGACAGCACCCAGGCCCAGAGTTCAGGCCCACGACCGGACCCAAAAAAAAAAAGAAATTAGATCCTTTGTATTCTACAAATATCTCCTTGCTATAACTATACACATTTTTCCTTCTCATATTTTAAACTTACTGAACTCCTAAATAGTTCCTAGGTTTATGACTTCCTTGGGAAAGCTCCCTTATCTCTTCATTATTTATAAAAAAATTTTCTGTGTGTGTGCATGTGCGTGAGCCAGTCCTGGGGCTTGAACCACAGCTCCACTTCTTGCTTTTTGGTGGTTAATTGGAAATAAGAATCTGACGGACTTTACAGTCGAACAGAGATCCTCAGATCTCAGCCTGTTGAGTAGCTAGGATTACAGGCATGACCCACCAGTACCAGACTCATTCATAGATCTTTAATGTGGAATATTTGTTTTGGTCAGTTATTGGGTTT